AATACCATACATGAAACTGAAAACCACAGGGTACCATACAAGAAACTGAAAATCAGCAAACACCATGAATTTAAGAAAGAAGATAACCAGAATCCAAGACCCAAGACCGCATTTGCTATTTCAGTCCATTTCCAGCCAAATTTGAATCCAATTCATCATACCTAGATGCAAAAAAAAAAAGCGCAAGGACCCCTATACAAACGATGAATTCCCTTTTCCTCCCACGAAGTAAAACCAAAAAGGGAAACCATAATAAAAATTCAAACTCACCTAATCCAAAAGGTGTACGAGGTGAGCTTTCCACTTTTCCTGGGACTTGCAGTTTTTGCACGTACAGTTGTAACTTGCTGCAGCAGCCAGAATTGGAATGGATGGATTTTAGTTAAAGGAACTCCTTTTTCAGTCTTTGAGTGGATCAGAGCAATGGATGATCATTTACTCATACAAAGGCGGAAAATGAGTTGGAGGCTTTCCTACATATAGGACCACTGGGAATGTTTAGGACTCGTCATTCCACGTGGTTTTTTCTTCAGATTTGTAAAAAGCTGTGGGTTTTTGTTGGTAATTTTCAGTAACACAATCCTACACGCAAACGGAAATAACAAAGAAATTGAGGTAATAATTTAACGCGTTTTTATTTGTATTTTTTTTATGAATTTATATTCATATAAAAAAATGAAATGGATTTATTATTATAAAAAATATAATAATTTAAAATTTTTTTCATTTAAAAAACTTTTAACACTTTAATATCAATATAAAGCATTTAAATTCTTCATAATTCTCTCTTAATCTTTACAATAATTATTTTATAATTTTCTTTCTTTCTTTTTTCTCACAATAGCCCTTACTTACCTAGTTCTTCTGAATTTCCCTTGCTTTCTCTCTCTCTTGCTTGCTCTCCTATAGAGAAAAATCCCAACACCTGAGCAAGTTTTTCTTTGCCTCATTCCTACGCATGCATAATTTTCTTTGCTCATTAAATAGGATTTAACATGTAATTTTACATTATTTCAACAAAACAATTCTAGTCTACAATTAGCTTACAAGATAGGCCGGTGAAAAAAACTACCACATGTAAAGTCGATGTCATGGGATGAGACTTTCTACCACTTGAGGCCTCCTAACAAACCAAGGATCAGGCAATAATCATCCAAACTCCAGTGAAAATATATAAATAAAGAATTCAGAATTAAAATTAAAAAAAAAAGTGTTTTTTAAGATAAATTATATATTAAAAATATAATTTATTTTATAAATTTATTTAAGTATTTTTAATAAATAATTTTTTATTTTATTAAATATACTTAAATGAATTTATAAAATAAATTATATTTTTTATCATACAGCCTATCTTCTTCCAAAACCATGACCTCTTAAAACTACAAACCTCTTTTTTTATATTAATTAAATTGAATAATAAAGTACGGTCTTATTAATGTTACTTTTAGGATGATAAAGAAGACAAAAATCTTTTTTTTTTCTCACATCTACTTTTAAATGCACTATATAAACATAGTATTTCTTGATTAAGGTTTGCTCCTCTAATCTAATTAAACAATGCAAATAAAGTATTATATTTTTTTTATACAAAAATTAAAGATTAAATTCTAAACTTGTTGCTACCAACACAAATAACTCTTCTTGTCAACATAAAATTCACCTTTTACCGTGGGACAGTGGGAAGGCGATACATCCCTAAGTCATTGGCATCCTCCATTACATAGATAAATTGAGAAAAAATTGTTTTAACGTAAAAAATATCTACTACGTAGATTTTAACAATGAAAGGTAATTCTTTTATCAATATGCCTACAATTGGAATTAAGCCATTTTAATTATTTATTTTAAAATAAAATTATCATTAAATTACTTAAATCTTTGATAAAATTCATTAAATTAAATTGTACAATGAGAGACAATCATTTTTTGTCTTATTCTTTTACTCATTTTACTCATATGTTATATGATTTTAACTAATGATTTATTAGTTTCACTAAAATAAGATTATCATTAAATTAGTTAGATTGTTGAGTTGGATTGCATAATAATCAAGCATAATCAATGTTACTTTTGGAATGACAAAGAAGACAGAAAATCACTTTTTTCTTGCATCTACTTTTAAATGGACTATGAACGAAATATTTCTTGATCAAGGTTCGCTCCTTTGATCTAATTAAACCGTATGTAAACAATAAGTCATTATTAAAGCAAATTGTTTGTTTTTTTTTTTTTTTTTTTGCAAAAATTAGAAATTAAATTTTAAACCTATTGTTAAGAGCTCAAATAACTCTCTCTTATCAACATAAAATTCTCCTTTTACTGTGGGACGGTGGGAGGCTAGGGTTCAGTAAGTCATTGGCATCCTCACGTGGGTAAATTGAGAAAAATCATTTTCACCAAAATTTTCTTTTGTTTTGCAAGTTGATTAACGAAAGATAATTTTCTTATCAATTGGCCTGCTAAACCCCCTAAGGTCACTTCAAGTCAAATTGTTCCCTTTCAAAATCTATATCATTTATGTTATGGTAAAATAAAAATATATCATTTATGTTGCATTAGCTTTGGAATGTAATTGTTAACAGTTTCATTAGTGGTTGTGACTTTACATTTACCTACAATTAGTGGAAAAACCAACATATTCAATTATATGGATTTTCAATGCGACACATACAATAAAATACAATTCTCTCTCAATTTTTTATCCGCTCTATATATATACCTCATATGTCATGTACTCAACACCAGACTCCCAAGTCATTTTTAATGCAATCTACAGTTTATGTTGCATTAACTTGGACGATATTGTTAACAATTTAATCTACAAGGGGTCGAGTATTAATTAATTAGTATTGGTCCGCAACTTGATCAATATACTAATCAGGAATCTACAGCAGTTAGGAAAACAATTTAGATTGCATTAATATAAATGCATGAAGCATGTTCTGACATAAATACCTTGAACATCATTAACAAGTTGGAGATACTGAATTAATTAGGACAAACATCAAACTTAAAATCCGATTCAGAAGTTTCATTACATATCAGGAAACATGGACATATACTGGCATTAATTGAAACTGTGACCAGCAAAACCAAAATTGTTATTCATGGAAGGTGAACTTGCATGCATGGTTGATGGTTTCTATCCTTTTAGTTGATCAACTCGCAAACAAAAGAGATGTTTACCAACTTTCCCATTTCTAATTATTTTTTAATTTTATT